ACGAGGTCAAGAGATTGAGAGCATCCGGGCCAACGTAGTGAAACCCCGTCTCTAGTAAAATACAAAAATTAGCTGGGCGTGGTGATGCATACCTGTATTCCCAGCTACTCGGGAGGCTGAGGCAGGAGAATTCCTTGAACCCTGGTGTTGGAGGTTGCAGTGAGTCGAGATGGTGGCACTACACTCCAGCCTGGTGCCTGGCAACAGAGTGAGACTCTGTCTAAAAAAAAAAAAAAAAAAAAAAAAGAAATCAAAAGCATTTACATTCTCGTAGGTATCTAAATATTGTTCCCTCAGCCAAGTGCCAGACTGAAATTGTTTCCTTTCTTCCCTTTCTCCCCCGGAGTTAGTAATCGATTCAGCTATTTCCTCATTTGCTTCTATGTTTTTGTACCTGTTACCCACCTTTTCTTTACATGCTCCAAGTGGTCTATCAAATGCCAATGATAATTATCCAAAAACTAAGAAGCACTGGGTACTCTGTCAGCCCGTCACTTTCCTGGAGGCTTCCCTCTCTCCCTTTCCCTCCACCCTTCTGCTCCAAACTGGACTCACGTCTCTCTGCCCGTGGACGGCTGGCATCCTGGCCTCTCTGCACCGCCGTGGGGATTTCTGCTGCCTCTTCTGTGTGCATCTCCTGTTTCCTGGCCCCAGATCTTCTTCTTCTTTTTTTTTTAAGACGGTGTTTCACCATGTTGGTCAAGCTGGTCTCGAACTCCTGACCTGAGGTGATCAGCCCACCTTGGCCTCCAAAATGCTTGGATTACAGGTGTGAGCCACCACGCCCGGCCCCCCAGATCTTCTTTCGCCCTGGTTTACTCTCATTGTGTTGCAGCACATCTTCCAGTGGCTTCCTGAGAAGAAGTGAATGAGAAAGAGTGAGAGCTTTCTGACCCCACTTATTTTAAAATCCCACTGCTCCACCCTAACTCCTGATCAATAGTTCGGCTGGAAATAATGCTCTAGTTTAAACGTCACTTCTCCTCACATTGGGAAATATCACTCCCTTCTTGCAGTGTTGTTGGGAAGAAGTCGGTGTCAAGCTGAGTCTTGGCTCTTTATATAGGACCTGTCTTTTCTCTCTGGAAGACTGTAGGATTTTCTCTTTATCCTTGGTGTTCTGGAAGCTCCAAGTGATGTGCCTTGTGTCTTTCTTCATTCACTGTGCTAGCCATTTGGTAGATGCTTTTGAACTAGAATATTCTGTCCTCCTATCGCGGGAAGCCACCAGCAGGTTTGTGTGAGCTGGGTAATGGCATGCTTTTCTTCCAAGGACAGAGGTGTCAAGGCCCTGGGAACCTTATCAGTGGATGTGGGGAAAGGGGGCCTGCGGTGAATCCAACAAACCTTTGGCACCAACTGAGCTCATGTCCCAGGGCGAGGCTCTGAATCAGGATAATAGACACAAGTGAGACCCACTTCCTGCCTAGTCCCATGCTGGGGCTCAGGACACACATGGTCCAGGAGGCCCCCAGCCCCGGGCTGCAGTTACATGCACCTAACTACACCTAGCAGTCAGTGAGCCACAGGACATCTTCGGGGAGGGGGCAGCTCGTTAGGGCAGAATAGGAGGGAGGGAAATTATCATGGGGTGGGGAGTGGCCTTGTGGGAAAGGGGCTGAGGGAGGGCCGTGTGTGTGTGTGTGTGCTGTGTATCGGGGGAAATGGGGAGAGCATCTGAGGTTTTGTCTCCCCCTTTTTGTAGCCACTGAACCCTTTTTCTCCTGAACAGTCTTTTCTTTCCATTATGGATTGAATGTCTCTGTCTCCTCCAAATTCACATGGAAGCCCTAGCCCTCTGTGTGGCTGCATCTGGAGATGAGGCCTCTCAGGAAGTCACTGAGGTTAAATGAGGTCCTGAGGGTGGGGCCCTGATTCAGGAGGATTAATGTTCTTATAAGATGAGACACCAGAGAGTGCATTTCCTCTCTCTGTTCACATGCATACAAAGTAGAGGTCATGTGAGCACACACGATGGCAGCCACCCACAGGCCAGGAGAAGAGGCCTCACAGTGAGACGCAGCTTACTGGTACTTTGATCTTGGATTTCCCAGCCTCCAGAGCTGTGAAAAATAAGTGAATCAATGTTTGTGGTCTAAGCCACCAGTCTGTGGTATTTTGGCGTGGCACCCTGAACTGGCTGATACGTCTCCCCACCCTACTTCAACCACATGACACAGAGGGCTTGGCAGTTTTAGTGTCCCAGCTACCCAGCCAACCCAGACCAGAACAAGCAGAAACTTTCCTCTGGAATTTTCTGAATAGGAACTAAGGAAGGGAGCGCCATCCTGTCTTGGGTGCAAAGTCAGCAAGATGGAAGCCTCATGCTGCCAACGGCCCGATTCCAACCTTGTGGGGAAAGTTACTGTGAGAGCACAAAATGGATCTGCGGACCAAGGTGGAGACAGAGACAAGGGAAGGAACATGTTCATCCTCACAGCGCTGGGGACTCTGCGTCCAGGTGTTCCTGAGCCCCAATTGTTCCCTCCCCTGCCCATGGCTAACTTATTGACCAATGAACCCCCCTTCTCACCCAAGCCAACCCGAGTGAATTTTCTGTCACACACATTCAAAGAGCCCTAGACTGCAGTGGCAGGACATGGCAGGGCTGGGCTGGCCGGGGCAGAGGATAGTGTGGGTGGAATCAGCTGTGACAGGGACACAAAAAGCACAGTTGTCATGTGACCTTCATGAGGTCTTCCTCCAGCCCTGACTGTGAGCCAGGCTGGCCCCATGTGCTCAGCGGGTCAGAGTGAGGGGTCTGGTCAGAGGTGCCATGCTGAGAGGTGCCATGCTCAGAGCCATCTTTCTATGAGCCAATCTCTTCGTCATCAAGGACTTTGCCATCGGAGACAGTATTAGTCACATCTTGGGTTCACTTGATCAGCTGCTGTGCTTCTAGTTCAGCGTCTTTAAACTGGGCCTCCCCACGTGGATGCTAGCAAGCCAGAGGCATCCTGGCCAGAAGCCCAGACTGGGAAAAGGGCTCCTGCCAGCGTGCTCGGGGTTCCAGAGGGCAGGACTGAGCGGGTGGGAGGAGCCCAGCCTGGGCCACCGAGATATGTATATATTTTCTTATATCATATATATAATGTATATATTTTCTTATACATACATTTTAATGGAGTCGAGCAAGTATTTTTGGAATGAATTCCTAGAAGCACAATTTCTGGAGGAAAATCATGTAAAAACAGTTTTAGGATATTTAATAGAAATGTTTAAATTATCCTGCAGGAAAAGTGGCTGAGCTCATCCTCCACGAACAGGGACAGAGCTCCAGGCTCCCCTTCCATGTGTCATCTTTGCTGACATTTATACAGAAAATCTCATGGCTTTCCTGACATTTCTAGTGCTTCTGTATCTTTTTATATGCCTGTTGGCCATTCTCATTCTTGTGGGAAGTGCCTGTTTTTCCATTGCTCATTTTCTGTTGAAAACCATTTGTTTTATTCTGAGTTTAAAGATTTCTTTATAGGCTAAGGATACAAATATTTTTTATCTGTCATCGAGGTTGTAAAAACTTTCTCCCAGTAAGTAACTGATCATTTCACTTTCTCTCTCTCTCCGGTTCTTTATTTTTGCAGGTATACAAATGTGCCTACCAGGAGTCTGCTTTCTATCCATTGAACGCAAGAAATAATACAGTAAAACTCTGCCTGGCTAGAGGCTTTGAAGGAAGGGAGTGTTCTGATTTAATTCTATTAACTTGGAAGTCTGAAGGTGAAAAAAATTCAAAACTTAAATTTCCTGTTGAAGTTGAAGGAAATTTGAAAATATTGGCAACGATTTCACTTTTCTTCTCTAGTAAGTTTGAACATTCTGATCTATTTAGTGCTTGATTAAAGAACTCCTCGTGTGCCTGATGTTTACATCGTCAGGATACATTTTTAAAACTTTAGGTGTAAGAGGATGTAAATGGTTTTGTATGAGATCAGGCTGGATGAGAACCGGTATTTATAGATATACTTTTTAGACTAAATCTCTTCTGCCACTTGTTTTCTGATTGAACTCATAAAAAGAAAACACACTGGATGAAGGGTGGGAGTAGGAAAGAGATTTCTGTGTTTTAATTGCATGTCATTATTTCATATCAAGACAGAACATAGAGCATCCCTGCCTTTGGACCTACAGAAGGAAACACATTTTCTACCTGCTGTATGCCAGAAGGTCTTCAACACCTGGAGGGATGAATGTCACAGATTGCCAAGCCCTACTCCGGAGTTTCTGATTCATCAGGCCCAGGGTGGGGCCTGAGAACTTGTATTTCTCAAAAGGTCTCAGGTGCTGCGGGTGCTGCTCGTCCACAGACTGCGTTATTGAGAACCACTCTAGTCTACTAACTGTAAATTGTAGAACTCTAGAAAAAAGCTTCGTTCGGTCTGGGATAAGAAGCACACTGATGTGGAGCAAATCATGAAAGATTCAACCCTTGATCGCAGCCTAGTGTGGAATTCAGGTAACAAGCAGTACACAGTGACATAACAGAATCCTTGGTTTCTATAATTGCAAGTCATAGCCAAGTATCGAGTGAGAAATTAGTTGTATTTGCAAGGCTCAGGCCGGTTGATTCTAGCAAAATGGGCCTTGGATTTGTTTTAAGCCAGTAAAGAGCTTTGAGTGTTTATTAAATTGAAATCACTGTGTTTTTATGTATTTTGTATTTTATTTAATTTCTTTTGAGATGCAGTCTTGCTCTGCCACCCAGGCTGGAGTGCTCTGGCATGATCTTGGCTCACTACAACCTCTGTCTCCTGGGTTCAGGTGATTCTCCTGCCTTAGCCTCCCAAGTAGCTACCATTACAGGCACCCACCAACACGCCTGGCTAGTTTTTGTGTTGTTAGTAGACACAGTGTTTTACCATGTTGGCCAGGCTGCTGTGGAGCTCCTGACCTGAGGTGATCCACCCATCTAGGCCTCTCAGAGTGCTGGGATTAAAGGTGTGAGACACTGCACCTGCCATAAAGCGTTGTGTTTTTAAAGATGTTAGACATGTCTCTTGTTGGAAAAAAAAAAAAAAAAACCTTAACAATTATGCGCGAGAAACATTTTTCCAAAAAAGATAAATCATTGTGATTATTTTATCTTGCTGGAATGTTGGGTAACATAGTCTGCTTTATGAATCATCAGGCATGCTATGGATTTTCCATTTTTATAGGGTTTGTATCTCAGTTAAGGTAAAAGTGTTAATTCTTGTACTCATTTGAAGATGAAAAACAGAGGCCAAAATCATAGACTTCGCATTGAAGCTGGATAACGAAGACACCTTTGAAGGCACACAAAGATACACACAGACAGACACACGTATATACAAAGTATACGGACATATGTTTTTTAAAGTTTATTTTTTAAAGCTTTTAAAGGAAGAGCTGACCCCTCCCCCATCCAGGAGTGGGAGGCCCCTCCCTTCTCTCAGAGTGGGCGGGGACAGCAGTTGCACGTGCAGCTTTCCTTCTGACAGCACGTGTCCTGGTGGGCCCTTTCAGTTTTCTGATTGACCAATGGGATTGGAGCATTAAGGCCACGCCCCCATTCTATGTTCTAGTGTGGCCATGGTTACCCTGCCCCTGGCTCAGTAACACAGCAGCCTGGTAGGTGACTGGAGCTATTTACCAGTGCTGGCCTGATTTTGCTGATGTGATCCCAACCCCGCCTCCCTCCCCACCCCACGATGTCAACGTCCACAGAGTCACGAGACAACAAATTGGCAGCAGCCAAAAAGAAGGTAAAACGAACCAGGTCATGGCCCCCCAACCCAGCCACAGATCCCGTCCAATGGGAAGACTTCTGCCGGAGTCCATACCACTCCTGAGGCACACGGGACTGGACCCGCCAACCTTGGAGCCTCTGAGCTGCCCCCACCAAAGTCTTGTCAGTCAACCCCATCCTTTCAGCAAGCAGCCCCGTCCCTGCCATCACCAATCACCCTACAGTGACTTTGGGCGGGTGACTCCTGGGACTCCCACTCCATATGTGGCCCTCACCTCCTGCCTCCCCAAGATCAACCTTCCTGAGCTCTTTGGGCTTGTTTCTCTAAGGACCTGGGTCCCCCAGCCCTAGGCCCCGCCCTCACCAGTCATCCCCAGGTGACTTTGGGCGGGTGACTCCTGGGACTCCCCACTCCATACGTGGCCTTACCTCCTGCCTCCCCAAGATCAACCTTCCTGAGCTCTTTGGACTTGTTTCTCTATGGACCTGGGTCCCCCAGCCCTAGGCCCCACCCTCACCAGTCATCCCGGGTGACTTTGGGCTGGTGACTCCTGGGGCTCTCTGCTGCAGACTCTGCACTCCCCTCCTGCTGCTCCAACCTCGGCCTCCGAGGGCTATTTCAGCTGGCTTCTCCAAAGACCTGGGTCCCAACCCTGTGTTTCCCTCTCCCATCATGGAGCAGCAACTTGGGCGTGGCACTGATGTGGTCCCCTCCCCCAGGAGGAGGAGAATGTCCGAATGCCACAGTCCCTCCATGAACTGTCATTCCTGTTACAAGACCTTTGATCTCATGATCCCGTCCCCTAAGCATTCTCATCCCATTTCTGCTTAATCTGGTCACAGAACACATTTCCAGCTGGAAGGGGAATGGAGACTATGGGACCTAGGAGCAAGAGCTTTCAGGCTGCCTCACTCCCTTAACATAGACATTGACAGTGTGAGAAGCCTACACTTCCCCTGTGAGCTCAAAATGTTATCAGTATCTCTGGGTGCCAATGGAAGAATGGGTTTGTCTTGGTTTTCTTCCAGGCTTCTACTCTCCAGAGAGACTTTAACATTTGTTTCTGAGATCTCCACCTCAAATTGGAATTCTCCATGGTTCCGGGACCAACTGCCCTTCAGTCAGTGGTCTCTGGAATGAGATCTCCTCATCTTCTATTGAATAGATCCTGGGAAACTTAACTTGACAGGTTGAAACTTCCTCATGTCATCTCAACCAGGGGTACTTTGAGAGCCACAGGAAAATTATGGGACATGTTTCTGAAGTGTCAGTTTCCCTTGAGTCTCTTGAGAGAGGAAAAAGCAATAATGTACTTAGGGATGACAGTCACATGGGTTTCTAAGGGTACGCCAGACTTCTCTCTGAAATGAGGCTTGGGTCCTCATCTTGCTGATAAATACCCAGATGTAACAGAAATGCCGCCTTCTGTCATGACGACACATCGATATGAAAGTGTGAGCGGTACTGGTGCACTTCTTAACACCCACAGACGTATGAGGATGTCTGACTGTAAACATACAGTGTACAGGTCCTGCCCACTGAATGTTGACTTGTTCTACCTCAGCGTCGGGTTTTGGTCCCTGGAAGCTGCTGATTCATGGAAAAATCCCAGAGCTTGGAGTCAGAAGATTGAGCATAAGTTCCAGTATTGCCTTTTTTTTTGCCGTATCAGTCCCTCTCAGTCACTGAGTGATTGCGTCAACACCTTGCACAGATGTTGGTGGCATTAAATCAGATGGTGTATAAGAGAGTATTGTAAAAACTGTAAAGGGGGATGGGGCTGTCGGGGCTGGTGGTTCTCATGAGTATTACTGCTCTTCTTTCCCACAGTTACAAGAATATCAGATGAGGAAGACGTCTGGTGTTCACGAAGGAGCGAAAAGAAAATGGAACAAAAATGCTAGGAACCCCGAGTCAGCCCCTTCTAGTGGTTGCCGGTCACCTGGCGATGTGAGTCGTGGGCCAGCCAGGCTCCTGGGGATGGTGGGTGGGGGGTGCCCAAGGGGCCGTGGAGGGTAATTGCTAAGATTGTGGATGGGCTGTCAGGGACCGGTTAAGAATTCTGGGTTTGAATCCTGCCTCTCCATCTGCTAGGGATACGATTTAGGGCAAGTTTCTTGAGCTCTTTGGGCCTCTCTTTTCACATCTGTAAATAGAAGTGGTATTGTTTGAATTCTATTTGTGAAGTTTAAATGAGATTTGTGATTGTTGTTTTTACGTAAATCTCTAGTACACGTCCTGCTGTAAATAGCCAGGACACCCAGGAAATGGTCGTTGCTGTCTGATTCTCCTCATCCCCAGTCTCACGGGGACGCCAGGCCAACGAGAACGGCCACTTCCCATCAGCCTGTCCCTTCAGCCGTCACTGAAAGAGCCCAGGGGGGGGAGGGTGGGGACATTAGAACCAGCAGAAGAGCTGACACAAAGTAGTTATGGGAAAAAGGGTCCGAGACAGGCAGAAGAGAAAATTCTGCCAGTTGATGGGGAAGAAAGGCAGTCAGAGGGCTTAGACCCAGAGTGGGACGGAACACGTCCATGTACACTCTCATCTCCTGTAGTCACAAACAGTTATTTATGCGGAGGGCCCTGCGTCATGTACTGCTCTGAAAGATCTGCAGGTAAGAGGCCCTGCGCCGAGGTGCAGTGACCCTGCAGGCCAGCCCTCCAGCCTCCTTCCACAGCGGGGGCTGGGCGCCCTTCTGCCAGCTGAGACAGCCCCATACACCATAGCCCTAATGACTGTTCTCTCTGCCTCCCCCAAATCCTTCTCCAACTCCTCCTCTCTGCAGGCACATCTGAGGCGCTACCAAGAAACAGCAGGAACCCTGGACTCGAGCTCCAGAATGATCAGTCAACTGAATGACACCATTCAGTTATTGGTAAGAGTCCCGTGGGGTCCTCTGATTCCACACTACCCATCCTGGGCTCCAGATTCCCCTTGGGGTGCTGAAAAAAGGGACTGTGGGACCCTGGTGCCAAGGGTAAATGGGGAGCTGGGGCATCCAGGCCTCACCTGGAGGGACCCAGAACAGGGACATGCAGCATGGCTCTTCTGTTGCTGACCACTTTCCTGACTCTCTCTTCACCAGACACTCCTGCTCAGGTTTTGCCACACATACCCCGGGCTGTCGCCTCTCGGGGAAGTGCTAAGCCTGACTGGTGGTCAGGGGCCCTGTATTCCTGCTGTGACTCAGTCCCTAATTTGCTATTTTACTCTGAAGGAGCCGCCTCTGCTCCTTTGGCTCCTGTTTCCACAGGAGGTAGAGTATCAGAGGTCTCTGTTAGCTCTGAGAGTCTGAGATTTAAAGGCCCCTTAGAATGGAAACCTCAGGGCCAAGGGCTCCTGTCCTTTTCTGTCCCACATCTCTGCTGTGAAGAACCGTACCTGGCCCATATGTGCTCAGTAAATATTTATGGAATGAATAGTTTTCTAAATCACAAGCTGACAGAAGGGGGCCCTTAATCAAACTTCATCTCTAGAGGTTGATGTTACTGTCCTTTCGAGAGAATCCAGATTCAGACTTTGAGTTCTGTGGCTGTGGGCAAAAACCAACAAAGACTCTCTGTCCTTGGGAGCTTGAGGAGAGTTGACCAGTTTGTGTTCCTATTAGATCTGAGAAATTTGCCTTCAAAATCCATTCCTGACCCCTGTCTACCACTTCCTGGTGTGGACAATAGAGTTCAGGGGCCACCCTCAGTCACCTTGACTCTTTCCACAGAAACAGCAGAAGGAAGGACTGGAGCAACAGCTGAGAGAAGTAACGTGATTTGTTCGTTCGTGACGTGACTGTGGGGTTTGGGGGGCACTCAGATGGAGAGGCGCCAGTCTCCTCTCACCCACTCCCAGCCTGGGGAAGAAGGCTCGCCCTTCAGATTCCACCCCATCCCCAGAGGGTCTCTGATCACCTGGTCCCATGGGTGGATCTGTCCTGGGGCACTGGTGGCATTCCTGGGGCATGTCTCTTGTGCCATCTCTGCCTCCCCCTGCTGAGAGCTCTATATTCCTCTTCCTATAGGAAAAGAAAATGCAAAGGGAGCAGTTAGAGGTGAGTGCAGGGTGGGAAGTGTTCTCCTGTCCTTCGGAGAATGCTTCTTTCCTTCTCTTTCAGCACTTGCTTGGCTTTTCTACCAAAGGGTCACATCCAGACAATCAACAGCCTCACGTCTGAGAATGGGCAGCTGAAAACTGCCCTATACCACACGCGCCGTGCCGCCAGGCACTTTGAAGGTGGGAATCTGGGCACCCCGTCACCCTTCCGCCTGACACGTTGACAGGTCTTTAGTGGGAGTCCTTTGGGTCCCATCTCAATCTCTCAATCTCTCTCATTCCAGAAGAGTCCAATAAATTGGTCGGCTGCCTGCAGGAGGCCTTGCAGCAGAAAGGGGAGTTGGAGCGGACTCTGTCTGCTGTCTCCGCCCAGCAGGACAAGGCGGACAGGGTGAGTCCAACCACCTGCCCCATCCCCTGGCAGCCTGACCTCCCAGATGGAGGAGTGAGCCTAAAGGTGCCTTCTGCAGGATGGAGTGTCTGCCCAGGAGGCAGCATGGCCATGTCTCACTGCTTTTGTTTGTGGTTGTTACAGGCAGCCTGGGGACAATTCAGCTGCCGTGGGTGACTTAGGGGGCACTGTGGGGAGCGAGCACTGGACGCAAAGATCGGAGGCCAAGTGCCTGCCCGGCCCTTACCTGTGTCCATGGCGAACTCCTCAGTGGGGAATTGGGTACTTGTACTGTGAAGGTACCATACTAAACGTGTGTGTGTGTGTACTATAATATACATAAAATGTGTCTACAAGGGCTCATAAAAAACTCAGGAGAGAGCAACAGGGTGACTGGGAGGCACTTCCTTCCTGTACCTTCTGAGTTTTGGACTATGTGAATGTATCATCCTTTCAAACCTGAACGAAAGATTAATTTCCCTCTTGCTATCTGTGCCTTCATGCCCAGCAAGAAAAATGCGCTGAGAGAACCAGATACATCTGGGTGTTCAAATCCCAGCTCTGTCTCAGTGATCTTACACAGCACTTCACCTCTAAAACTCCGTGGTTTTCATCTACACAATAGAGAAAATCATAGTAACTGTCTCATATGGTGGTTGTGAGGATCAAATGGGATGGTTAGCACAGCACCTGGTGAAGCACTCAATAAAGGTTCAAACAGTGGTAATAAGAGGAGTAATAACAATAGCAATATTATCTCATCTCTCTGGGCCTGTGTTAGCCATCTGTCACTTGGATCTCTTTCCCTGTCCCTTCCGACTTCACTGAGTTCTTTTAAAAACCAGACCACGGGCTTGGAAATGCCTTGATGCTTACTGACCTAGTTGAGTGTTGAGCCTAGCCCCAGCCCTTTTGCGGGGTATTGTGCGGAATGGCCTGGGCTCCCCAGACCGAAACTTCTCACTCTTCACCATCCAGTCCTCACACCACTCTGAAGCAGTCCTCGAGCGGCAGTTACAGAACTCCAGAAAGGAGCTGGCACTGCTAAAAGCACACATGACACAGGTGAGGCTTTGCAGAGGGTGGGATGTGGAAGGAAGATGACCCCATTTGGCCACGAGCAGGTGAGGACCAGTGACAGCTCTTCCTAACTTCTGTGTTCATTTTCACAGATGAAGGCATCATTTCACCAAGTGCAGCTCGAGAGAGATGAGTATTGTCAACGTATTAAAGGAGAGAGGTCCCGATGGCAGCAGAGGATGCGGAAAATATCAGAGGAGGTGAGACCTGACCCTTCAGACCCAAATTAAGACAGCTCACTGGATCTTTCTGGGCATCTGTGAAATAGGAATTGCACAGCCAGAGGTGGCCACGGGTCTGGACTTTGTGGCGGTGGGACAGAGAGCGAGATGGTCACCTGTGTAGCCACCAGCCCCTCTCTTCAGGGCCCTCTTCCTCTGTGCTTTGGGCAGGTCCGCACATTGAAGTTTGAGAAGAGGCAGGATGCACATCGCCTGCAGGAGCTGGAAAGGAGTCTTGCCCACCTCAAGAACCAGCTGGGTAAGATGTGCATGGCATGACCTGCGAGGAGGACTGGCACCAGAGGGCTGTGGACGTAGTTTAGAATGTCCCAGGGAGGTGGGTGGATGGAAGGGTTTTGAGACAGAGAAAAAGAGGTCTGTGCCAGGAGATGGGAAGTCTTGTCATCTCCATGAGCCTGTTTCCCCATCAGCAAAGAGGGAGGCATGCCCGTTGACAGCCACCCACAGGGCTCTCTATCTGAATGTGGCTTGGAAGTCTGGCTGCCATCGGATGCAAAGAATCATCAACAGTGAGGCCGAGTTTACAGAGTGTGAAAGGAGCTGTGCACAAAAGGGAGGGTGCTTGAATTTTTTTTTTTGAATCCAGAGGCCCTTATATTCTGCTTCCTTATTCAGCTGAAGCCCCACGTCCCGAGCCCCCAGTAGGGCCCTCGGTGGCAGAACAACAGCTCAAATTTGAGACCAACCTCCTGAGGATAAATCTGGAGAGTCTTACAGAGCAGCTGCATGCTCAGGTGAAGAACAATGAGAACTTGAATCGCCTGAGCTGTGAGCAGAAAACAAGGCTGTGGCAGCAGGAGGAGTCCCTGCAGGAGCAGAGAGAGAGGATGCGGCTGCAGGAGGAGGAGCTGGTGCGCTGACCCACCTGGGGAGCCTGTCCTTCCGAGCCCTCCAGGCGTCTGTGTCCCCACCTGTATCACGGGGGAATGTAGCCCTCATGTGAAATGGTCCTTCTAAAGGCACCTGTGAACCAGAGTCCTGCTCTGAGGGCTGTTGGGGAAGGGGATGATTTTTCTAACCTGTCTCTGCCCTTCCCGGTGCCTTGAGAGGCAGACACCAAGTTCTGGGGTCTCTAGCTGCAGTGGGTGTCCACTGAACGCTTCTCTCTGTCCAGAACAATGAGAAGAAGAACGCAGTGCAGTTGGTGCAGCAGATAAAGGAGCTGCAGGAGAAGCTGCACAACCAGAAGGTGAAGGTAACCTCTGCCCCGTCCGAGAAGGGCTGGGAGGCAGGCAGCAGCCTCTGAGGAGGGGAGGGGCGAAGCCAAAGGCAGCTCCAGACTGAGGGCAGGTGACCCCAGCACGCTTCAGGACAGTCCTGTCCCCGTGTCTTGCTTTCTGCCCTCTGACTTTTAGAGGTGGGTAGCCCTGGGCTCTTCCCAGGTCTACACATTATCATCCCAGCTAGAAGCATGGAGCCCCCCAACTACAGGAAAAGAGGCAGTGGTAAAAGTGGCTCCTTATGCTAGGCATGGTGGCGCATGCCTGTAATCCCAGCTACTCAGTAGGCTGAGGCACAAGAATCGCTTGAGCCCGGGAGGTGAAGGTTGCAGTGAGCTGAGATCGCACCACTGCCCTCCAGAGTGTCCCGAGTCATACTCTGTCTCAAAGCAAAACACAAAAAATGCTTCTTAGATTCAAACTGGATTCTGGCCTCGGTTTCACTGGTCACCACTGAACTTCTTTGCATCTCTAAGTCCCTGTTTCTTTCATTGCAGAAGGAAATTAGTATTTTCCTTGTGGAGGTGCTGAGGATTAAATGTGATAATATGTGGGAAGGACTAGGCGGGTAGCACACTTAGCAGATGGTGGGTGGCTCCCTCTGCTTTTCCACCAGTCTGTGGCCTGCAGTTTAAATGGTGGGAAGGAGGACATGAGATTTGAGGCTGGGGAAGGAGGGATGGGCATCTAGGCAAGGGAGGCGGCCTCTTAGGCCTGGAGCCAGGGGCTTGGACAAAGCCCCATAGTGCCCTGGGTACCCTATGAATGGACCCAAATCTGGGCACAAGCCACCACACACCCTCACACCCAGGGTCTTCCTGCAGGTAGAGCTGAAAAGCCAAGAGGCTCACAGTCTGCAGCAGCAGTGGGACCAGTCCCTGGGTCACCTGCAGCAGTACGTGGCCGCCTATCAGCAGATGACCTCTGAGAAGGAGGCGCTGCCCAGGCAGTTACTGCTACAGACCCAGCTCATGAACCAGCTGTAGCAGCAGGACGCTCGGGGCAAAGCAGTAGCCGAGATGGCCCTGCAGAAGTTGCAGGAGACCCAGGGGAGGGAGTTGCTGAGGATGGGGGATGGCCTGGCAACCTCTGTGCCTTCTCACTTCCTTTCCTGGCCCCTTAGGAGAACCTGGAAGCTGCCACCCAGGAGAACCAGCAGCCACAGGACCAGCTGAGTCTCACGACTCTTCCTGGGCAAGGTATGGGAGACCTCTTAGAGGGGGGACTGCTAGCAGCATAGGATGGAGGCTTCGGAAGAGACCTTTAGAACAGGTGGTCATGATGCTGACCAGGTGTCCGCACTAAGTTTGGCATCAATATGGTGACCTCCTGGAAGTGGGGGCCACAGGTGGCCTAAGGAAGGGTGAACTGGCCCAGATCAGGAAGGGAGCGGGTCAGAACTCCCACGCCGATTGGTAACGGGACTGTGCCTGGACAGTATAGGAAGCTCTTGGTTCTTAAAAGTAGAAAAAGCACAGTAGCGGATTCCTCTGTGGGGAGGGGTGGCTCAGGGTTACACGGTGAGGGTGGAGGCAGAGCTGGGCCCACAGTAGTGCCTCCCTTGTTGGGTTGTGTGCGCACCCCTCTGGCCACCCCCCACAGGAGATGGAGGAGGACATCTGGACAGTGAGGAGGACGAGGTGCCTCGGTCCAGCATTGCAGAGGCCCTGGAGAGCCGAGAGGCCGTGGTGAGCCTGACTGCCCCTGCCCCTCCATTGCCACCTTCCTCTGTGGTCCCTCCCAGACCCCCTCATGCTCTTGGTTTCTTCACCTTCTGATTTCTCTGGACACATCTCTTCCGGGAGCCCGTGCTCGGGCACCATTTCACCTGTCACCGACCGTGCATTCTCTCAGGCCCCAAGGGAAGGGGCTGCACCCCACCTCCGTGCCCGCTTATTCTTTGTATGCCCTATAAGAATGTTCACCTCTTGCCTTCAGGGGGCATTTATCAATGCGACTGGGCCCGGTGCCCGGGAGGAGCAGGAACAAAGGGTGTGCTACCAGCACCTGGCTCACTTGGTGGCCTCGGTGCAGGAGCCAGAGGCAGTGACTGCAGCCTCAGCCCCAGCTTCAGCCCCAGCCTCAGGGACTGTGAGTCTCTGTGTAGGGAGACCAATCATGCACTGCAGGGAGCCATAGAGAAGCTGCAGGTGAGCCCTGGCACAGGCCAAGAAGGGTGTGGGCGGGGCAGGTCACTGCTGAGATGTGACCCCATTATTTGTACTTCAGAGCAGCTTTAAGACCCTCCAAAAGGAGAGGGTGGACCTGAAGGAGCGGGTGGAGAATCTAGAGCTTCTATTCATCAGGCTCTCTGGAGAGACAGACACGATGAGTGAGCAGGGGGCCAGGGCACGGCAGGAGGAGCTACAGGGTGGTCTGAGGGTGCCCAGTGTCTGAGCCTGTCTGAGCCCTGTCCTCTTGTAGGAAAGAACATCAAATCGTATGAGCCGCAGAGGGCAGTCCCAAAGCCCCGGCACCAGGAGGAGGGGGAAAAGCGGGAGATGAAGGTGAGGCGAGCAGCATCTCTGCGGGGCTGAGGGGGTTGGGAGTGGGCATGAGCATGGCTGCTGGCACCAGCGTGGCAGCTGAGCACCCCTCTCTCCAGCTGCAGCTGCAGGAGCCGGTGTTTCCAATTCTGGGTGACGAGGGCCATGCCAAATTCCTGGCCACTGCCAAGAGCCATGTTGATGAGCCGGCTCCAGGGTTGCCAGCACCCCATGGCCTTGGGACGGTCAACAGACAGGGAGGTAAGTGGAGCCCTCAGGCAGGGTGGGCAAGCAGGAGCAGGGGAGGCTCACCCTGTGCTGAGATCCCGACCTCCCTCTCTCCAAAGATCTTTGTGAGGTCAGCCTTGCACACAGCATGGAGCCTGCAAGCTACACCTGGGAGCGTTCTCCCCAGGGCAACCCCACTGTAGGAAACATCGTGCCGCCGCTTCGTGAAATGAAGACCTTCCAGGAGCACGCAGGCTTCGGCCAGAACTCCTACGTGCCATTGTATTACCAGGCTGCCAAGAACAGGGAGATCAGCATAACCATCTTCTAAGAGCTTGGCAAGAAACTTAAACACCAAAACACAGTTCTGGGGTTAATCTACACAGTTCATTAACTTTATTTAGACATTAGAGCCACTCATGTTTATTTGTGTTTCTATTTTATAAATTTGTTTATTTATAAATTTAGCATTATTGTTAATTTAGCATTTTTCTGTTTTGATAATTGTAGGTCAATAGCATGCATATCGAGTTTGGCCTTACGTGCTGGGAGTTCTAACACACAAAGACCCACTCTTTGCACCAAACTCTTTTTGCTGGTTTGGAATAGGACGCCATGCTTTTTCAATGTTATTGCCGCATGTATACTTCTTACGGAATTCAGATAAAATTTATGTTCTGCCATCATAGTTGATCGAACCCTAATCACAGTGAGCTCTGAATTAGCTCAATACGTGGTTTGCCCTCATGTGTGCACTGTTTGTTACTTTGTAAGTTGCCACTGTGAGTGCTGACATCTAGAGCTGCTGAAAGGTCGAGACCTGGAAACAGCCTTTCCCCTGTTTTCTGTGTCTTTGGCATGGGAGTAATAACATTTTGGGGAGATTTTAAATCTCACAGAAGAAAGTGGCCTACTCTGGCAGGTATGTGCAGAATACTAGAGTATGCTTCATTGGTTCCCAAGCCAAGAATGAGCACTGTGCTATGGTAGTTCCCTTAGGATTTGTCTGTGCTCTGGGCTCCTGAAGATATGGCACCATGAGCTGCAGCAGCTGCACTCATTTTCAATGACGTAAAAAGGGATGTTTTCTGAGGAATCAAAGGCTCCCGTCATTGACTGTGGATGTGAAAAGCCTTTCCTCATTTAGAGTATTTATATCTATAATACATTTTAAAGTCAGAGTTCATGTAACCTCTTTTAATCACATAACCACAGGTCCCAGTACACAAATGGCCACTGGTTGGCATTCTTAATGTACTTAATAAAGATCCTAGTAAATCCTTTAAGACGTGGGGATCGTCTAGTAAGTAGCGGTCTTCCATGCTGTCCCCAGGGAGAGTCACTAGACCATCTCGTAACTTTAAGAGTTTAAATGTCCCTGAAACGGGCATACAAGTTTTTGTCAAGAATGAATTAGAGTGAAGGAAAGCTGAGTGACACCTGGCATTCCTCTGTGTTCATGAAGCTTCTTTGAGGCTAGCAGATTGATTTGACATCCAGACTTGTCTGGCTAATGCCTATTCTTCAACCACATTGGTTACTCTGACATAGGCATTTACTTCTTTTTCTTGAAGAAAAAACACTTTAAAAAATAATCGCAGACATTATTATAAACTAATGTACGTGAGAGTACTTAGTGGAAACAAAAAGGAGTTTTAGTAGACAGTATACTGTATTTGAAAATCAAGGAGAAGTTTCTGCCACTTAAAATGTTTACCAACTGCAGTGCAATCTACTGTTTGTGAACGTCAACCTATTATCAGGAAAAGTGTCTATGCAATCACAGAGGTCTGTCTCCTCCCCAAATTCTGGACGAAGAGTGAAATATGTTTTTAAATATGTTTGTATGTCTCCTGGCTTCAGTTAGAGGCACATTTTGTGCAATATTTATGGTAATGTGACTATACATTATGAATAAATTATTTCCATCATACATATCCTAAGTCATAACTTTATGTATGTTGATTCTTTAGAAAGAATAAATAGTTTAAACTTCATGAAGTTCTAATGTGTTTGTTCCAAAATAAGTCCCATGATTAGGATGTAGGGAGATATGTATGTGTGCTTCCGGGGGTGGGGATTTCTAGTTACTAGACCATCTCCATTTTTAGCATTCGGCCTCCTCATACTTTTATAAATATGACATTAATAACAGAGCAATACTATGATTGCACAGACGGAATAACAGATTTCCTGCATTCACTGAAAGAGTGAAAATATTGGGCCCTGGTGACTTCAACGAACTCTTCCAATTTGTATGAATTTATCAATCAATAAGATAAACCCAATTTCAGAATTATCAAGAAAAAATGTAAGTCCAAATAATGTGGCTAACAAACAGTGGTACAATTTCTAGCCTGAGGTTTAAAATGGACTTAAAAGTACTGTCTTTAAACTAAACTCAAAGGTTGAAAAGCGGCACATTCAGAAAAGAAAATGCAAGAACAGAACTTCACGTCCATTTTGAAACCTCGGGCTAGAAATCGTACCACTCTGAAATAGCCACATTATTTGGTGGGGGACAGGGTCCTGCCTTCTGTCACGCACTGGCAGCTATGATGGCACCTGGGAGGGAAGGAAGGAAGCCGTGTGTCCTGCCTGGCCTGTGAGGTGTGTTGTGGGATGACTGTGTGTGTGGGGCTTCAGCTTTTCCCCGAGATCGCCACTGGATTATCACCAGCAGATAGAGGCGGTGGGACCCTGACTATCACCCGCTCTGCAGTGGATTTGGTCTCGGCACTCCTAGGCTGGGAGCTGGATGCCCTGCACTGGCAGCATGACTCAGAATGCACGACGGGCACGGCGTGCCCAGGATGACGTTCCTGGGCCTCTGGCCGACTCAGAGTCCAGCCCCCTCCCAGCTCCCAGCCCCAAAACCATAACCCACGAGCTCTCTGCAGACAGTGATGGCTCCGGAGAGCACCCACATCGGCCAGCTTGAGCACGGAGCCTGTTCCAAGAGCCCCAGGCTCAGCCATGGAGGCCTTGGACGGTGGCACTGAGTCCCGAGGCTCACAGAGAAGGGAGGTGAGAGAGACAGCAGCATGAGGACAGAAAGAGGACAGAGAAAGTCTGCAGCTCCAGAAGGGAGGGGCGGGGAGCCTGGCTCTTAGGTCCCAGGTTTGTTCCCAGTGTGGAGCTGGTGCAGCGGGGCAGGCACACCATTCATGCAGCAGGCGGCGAGGCGGGTGCCCACCGTGTGTGATGGTCCTCAGAGGTCACCTAGGCTAGGGAGTTGTTTATCAGCGAGCCGTTCGGAGGGGGGAAGCCAAGGATTTTTATATCACAAAGGTTGACTTACACACACAGTAGTCAACTTCCAAACCCTATTCCTATAAACTGAGCAGGCGCTACCAGGCCACCCAAAGTTCAAATCGCCGTGACAAAAAATTTAAAAAGCCACACTCTATAGCAATGTGCTCTGGGAATATAGCTCAGCTCCAAGCCAGCTCAATGGGGACAAGTAAAAGACCGGCGATGAGTCCCAAAATCACGGTCCCCAGGGTTTTCCGACAGCCCCCTGAGCTCCACAAGCTTTTCTGTCTCTGCAAAAAACCAATCAGGAAAGCAATCAGCAACTTCAGGTTTCCAAGGTTAGGTTCTGTTTGAACGTTTTCCTTTTTAACCCACGTGTGTCCCTAGACTCAAAGGGAACACGAGCCTCAGGGTGCACTGTCCTCAGCAGACACTCTTCCTGCTGGCAAGGGACAGCCCCGTCACCTGAGGGGCAGCCAAGAAGCTGGCGGTGCACCTGTGCCTTTCAGGACAGGAACCCCATCCACTTGCCCCTGGTCCCCATCAAGCACGCATCCCAGTGTTTGACTCAGGTGCCAGGGGACTACGGGGTCTGGTGCTGAGAAGACCTTCAAAGGGAACTATCAGTATATTTTCTAGTTTTGAAATAATATATAAAGCTGAGGATGGGCGCAGTGGTTCATGCATATAACCCCAGTATTTTCAGAGGGCGAGGCAGGCGGATCACCTGAGGTCAGGAGTTTGAGACCAGCCTGGCCAATATGGTGAAATCCCATCTCTACTAAAAATACAAAAAGTTAGCCAGGTGTGGTGGCAGGCGCCTGTAATCCCAGTTACTTGGGAGACTGAGGTGGGAGAATCGCTTGAATCTGAGAGGCAGTGGTTGCAGTGAACTGAGACTGTGCCACTGCACTCCAGCCTGGGACAGAGCAAGACTCCATCTAAAAATAAAACATATATACATATATATATATATATATGGGATATATATATCAGCTGCAGGGGCTCACAACTGGAATCTCAGCACTTTGGGAGGCTGACACAGGTGGAGCATGAGGTCAGGCGATTGAGACCATCTGGCTAACATGGTGAAACCCTGTCTATACTAAAAATACAAAAATCAGCTGGGCATGGTGGCTCACACTTATTATTTCTAATCCCAGCAACTCGGCAGGCTGGGGCAGGAGAATCGCTTGAACCCAGGAGGCAGAGGTTGCAGTGAGCCGAGATAGCGCCACTGGGCCCCAGCCTGGCAATAGAACAAGACCCTGTCTCAAAAAAAGAAAAAAAAAAAGCAGACACAGGAAAATGTTAACATTTATTAAGTCTACTGGTGAGTACACTGATTTTTTTAAAGGCAGTTAGGGCCAAGACAGCTAGGATATTTTCTTTTCTTTCTTTGACACAGGTCCCTGTCGCCCAGGCTGGAGTACAGTGGCACAGTCAGGCTCACTGCAGCTTCTGCCTCCCAGGCTGAAACACTTCTCCCACCTCAGCCTCCTGAGTAGCTGGGACTACAGGCCCATATTTTAAGTAGAGAAAGTAGTACACAAAACGGAAGCCACATGAAAAAAATAAAATCAACTACAAAAATCAAAAAGTTTTATGTGACAAATCACAACATCTAAAAAAAAAAAAAAGCAGGGAAATATTTATAATTCATTTTACAAAAGCTTCCATAATACTGATTTTTATACAAAAAAATGAACAGTACAGGAGAAAAAAATTTTTTAAATGATATAAAAATTTTGTAGAAAAACAAAACGTTCTTAAAGTTTATGCTAAACTTCATTGATAATCGAAATGCAAATTAGAACCAATCTCAGAGATTTTTCACCTTTAAGGTGAGTAAAGAATAAAAAGTTTGATAATATAGTATATAAGAAAGTGTGGGCCAGGTGCGGTGGCTCACACCTGTAATCCCAGCACTATTTGAGGCTGAGACCAGCGGATCATGAGGTCAGGAGTTTGAAACCAGCCTGCCCAACATAGTGAAACCCCATCTCTACTAGAAATACAAAAATTAGCCAGGTGTGGTGGCACGTGCCTGTAATCACAGCTACTCCTGAGGCTGAGGCAGGAGAACTGCTTAAACCCAGGGGGTGGAGGTTGCAGTAAGCCGAGATCGCACCACTGCACTCCAGCCTGGGCCACAGACCAGGACTCCGTCTTGGGGAAAAAAATAAATAAATAATAACGTGTGGAAATGACACGGCAGGTGAGCGTAATTAGGACAACCTAATTACAAATTTGCCAAATCTGTCCAAATTATAAATGTACATGAATTGTGACCCGGCAATTCTACTTCAAGATTTGAGCCTAAAGATATGTACAAATGTGGGAAATAATACATCTAAAAATTATTTATGGCAGCCCTACTTATATTAGTAAAAGACTGAAAACAAGCTGTCTAACATTTA